ATTGTTGTATTGATGTTTGTCAGGATATTGCAGATGGGATTCTGGTTCAGGTATGGGCAGTTCCCTTCCTCTGAGTTCCATTCCAACCATGAGATTTTATAATTCTCAGAAAACACTTTTTATTTTAGTAGTTTACTGGGTAATTAAAAACTATGGGAAAGATCTCACAGAAGAGATGGCAGTGAGCTGAGCCTTGAAAAAAAACTGGACTCCCCCTAATGTCAGCAAATTTTATAATGGGGAATTGCTTTAGAAATGCCTGGGCAATGAGAAGTGACCTGATTTGCCACAGACCCATGGCTAATATGTGTCAGAGGCAGAATTTGAACCTTGGTCTTCCTAACTGCAAGCCTTTTTCTATACCCATGCTGAATGGTCTATAATGAAAGAAGTGAAGAAGCAAATGTGCACTTTGCTGGGTGCATTTTACTTACTGCAAGTACAGGAGCCAGATCTTCGGAATCAAAAGCCAGTTTTAAGTTAATAGTCTTGAAAGCAAGAGTAGAATAAGTTAGAGAATAAAAAGCAAAGTAGCCAGCCAATACAATGACTTCTCATAAGACACAAAAATCTCTTCCTATAGTCATATGTCACTTTAGCTGAAGAGGGTCTGAGTGCCTAGCAATCATGCTGTACACCTCTGAGCCCCGAGGGTCCTAGAAACTGCGGCGAGTCTGGAAAACTACAGCCCAGAAGAACCCAGTGGCATTTATACTTGGTTCTGAAGTACATGTGACAAGTCCAGAAAAATCATTGCACCAGATGGCTAGGTACCTGTAGTGGGGTGGGAGGGGGATATCTTTCTACTACTAAGAACAATGAAAGTAAAAAGGGACTATGGAAATAGTAAAGATTCACTCAGGAACTGAACAAGGAAAGAGTCTGGGTCAAAGGAAATATATGGTACTGTAACTTTTCTCAGAATATCCTGCCTTACACTTTACTAAAGAGTTCAAACGTAGAGAAGCATTCAGTCACTTTTTTAAAACAAAAACAAAAACAAAACCCCTCTCCCCTCAAATCCTTTCTTTTGCCTTTCAGAAACTACAAAGGATTGAAATTTTCAGTCAAAGTTGGACAAACATTTAGGGAGCTACAGGAAGCTTTTCATTTCCAATGAGCCAGAAAGGTCTCTCCATCTGTGGCATTCTCATTGTTTCCATGAGATTAATCTAATGATCAGATAGAACAATTAACTGATCAGACAGAAGCCTCCTCTCACCTGACAAACTGGCTTTATGACAAATGTACTTTTCAGTACTTTCTAGTTCTGTTGTTAAAACATTCAACTGTGCCCATGTCCTGACACCAGGCTACTCTTCTCTTTAAGGAAATATTGTTCTCTGATGGGCATGGGCTACAAGAAATATTGCAATTAGCAAATGTCTGTTTACAACCCTGAGGGTGTTGTATTTCCAGCTTACTTGTGAAGACTTACAAGCCCTGATGAGAACAAAACAAAGTCTAAAATGTAGGTAATTATTTAAGTAGTCAGATTTTTGATCATCTGGACCACTGGTGGGCAGCCATAGCATGGTTAACCCTAAAACATGGAAACTCTATCAGAGTCTGGGTTTCTGCTTTATTTCCCAGAAGCCCCAAAGTAGATTGATAGTATGGGTAACTATTATGTAAAAGTTAAGCTAAAAAATGGTACCTGAGCTCTGAAATTACCCTTCAGAATTGTTTATAGACAAGAAGAGTAGAAAACTGAAATTTTACTCTAACATCAGCAATGGTTTTAAAAGTAGACTTAAGGGGGCAGCTAGCTAGCCCGGTGGATAGAGCACCGGCCCTGAAGTCAGGAGGACCTGAGTTCAAATCCGGGCTCAGATACATAACACTCACTAGCTGTGTGACTCTGGGCAAGTCACTTAACCCCAACTGCCTCACCAAAAAAAAAAAAAAACAAAGTAGACGAAGGAGACCTACATGGTAAGATTTCAGATGTACGTAGAAGGTTCCCTTTTCTTCATTGGTCCCTGATTACTGAAACCTCCAACAACAGAGAGCTTTCTCTATCCTAAGAAATGATGTATTCAAATTCAAGTAACTTCCAGAGAAACACTTTGAGCTTATCAGTTATTGCTATACTTTAGCATAAAGAATACTTCCTGAAAGTAGGCGATATATGTGATCAGAGGAAGAAAACTATCAGAGGGTACTAGTTGCCTGAAAAAAAAAAACCAAAAAAAACAACAACAACACTAGAGAAAGGAAAGGCTAGAGACATCAAAACACATTTTATTGACATAATTTTGGGATGTCTACCTTGATTAGCACAATAAAATAATTATTACTTAGGATTCTACCGATCACAAATCTATGATAATTCAGATAGTGTATTTACTAATTCACTAAGTTCAAAAAAGTCTTTGCAAATTTCTAGAGATTTATTTGGGAGTAGGAAAGATTTAGTCAAACCACAAATTTCAACTGCTAGGTCCAGAAATTACTCATTATGTTAAGGAATTTTTATGTTTATGAATAATTATCATATAAAGTGAGAAGCAGCTTGCTGAAGCAGACAGAGATAATCCTTGGTGTCAGGAAGATGTGAGTTTAAGTCCTACCTTTTAATCATGATGGTTATGTGACCATACACAAGTCACTGATGTTCTCAGTGTCCCACCCTCCTCCACAAGTCTCTAAGGTTGCTAAGTTTCAAAGCTGGCAACAACCTGCACTGGGAGAGGTATAGAAATTCCCTATACCAATGAAGTTACAGGTCTAGGTTAAAAAAAATATAGTCCTTCACAAAATCCTATTACCTTTCCTCATCATGGGATGGAGGCATCTGTTGGTTCTGATGGCCGTGCTTGAAGAGTACAAGCTATGGCAGATTCTACTCAACTAGAAAGGCTTATAGTAATCAATCAACAAGCATTTATTAAGCCCCTACTAGGTATGGGGCATGGAAGCCTGCTTTTAAGAAGTTTACATTCTATTGGAGAGAAACATATACACAAACAAAATAAATACAAAGAAACTGGATGGACGACACAAATGGCAGGGGGAATGTTCCCCCAGAGACAGAACATGTTTGCTCGCTGAGGACTAGCGTTGCTAGGCCTTGAGAAACTTCGTGGGGTTAGAGTGAATAAGGGTGAGGGCAGGGGATTCTCTCATTATAACAGAAATTTCTGTAAATCAGATTATACTTTGCTATTGATTTAATTGGAGATAAATTCTCACAGTGGAAAAATTGGGTCCCAAGATATAACAGAAATGTCACTTGGGAAATATAGTAAATTTTTTAAACACAAATTAAATGAACAAATGTTTCAAAATGTGTATGTTGTAAAACAGCTGTACATTGGCATGAGTAGAAGGAGTTCCTTAAATCAGTAAAATCACAGGTCTTAACCACCACCACCATCACAACCATCAACAACATACATATAAGGATTAGTTATCATAGCAGTGATTATGTAACAGAAGCATTCTTCTATTTTTTTCTCGCCAGTTCTTCACATCTCTGAACAAAATGTTTTGGGATTTTTCATTTAAAATGAAGAAGGTTACAGAAAGTATGTTTCCAACTCAATATTTTCCTCCTTACCTATAAACATTTCTATAATTGTTTATTAAAAATTAAAATAAATTGATCATTTTCTGATACTGTAGATCTAACGAGAATTCTAATCATCCTTTTAGGGAAAATAACAGGCACATTATTCATCAAATGTACACATGCACCTTATTTTACAGAGCAGATGTGTTCCCAAAATACTGGCTGCAATACAAATTTCTTTAAGTCAAATGATACCTTCCCACTTATTTACTTGGAGATGAAAATTCCCACAGTAGAATAACCCCAAGATGACAGCTATGTCACTTGGGAAATAAAGAAGTCTTTTAAAGACACATTAAAAGAAAAATAATTATTTTCCAATAAAACAATATCACATGATCATAGATTTAGAACTGCAAGGTACTCCAGACTCCCATTCTTCAGACATCCCCTATTTGGCTTTTAAAGCCCTTCACAAACCTGGCTTCAACCTATCTGTGAAGTCTCATTTTATATCAACTCCCACCACCTGCTTCATGCCCTAATGCTTCAGTCAAACTGGCCTTTTCTCTGTTCTCCACACCACCCCATCTCCCTTCTCCACGCCTTCACACTGGCAACACCAAATACTGGGAATGCACTTCCCCCTATTTATGTTTCATAGAATCTTTTAACTTCCTTCTAGACTTTTCCTGATTCCCCAGCAGCTAGTGCTTTCCCTCCTTAACAACTCAGTTTTCCTTTCATTCTTGTGTTTGTTTGTTTTTTTCAAATTTTCTGTCAAATTGTCCACCCAAATTTCTTCATATTTCTGTTACTTAGCACCATGAGATCTCTGGGCATAATCTGGGGGGTCCCCTCCCTACTTGCTCATTTACAATATACATCTGTATATTCAAGGTAACTGAAGGAGTGTTTCATTTTATTCCCTTATAAATTTTACAATTAAAAGTACACATTTATATTGATGCAAAACAACCTCCAAGCCCCTATCTATGGTTTTCCCTTACTCCACACAATCACTTTGGGAGAGATGTACTTTGCTGCAATATGTTCCTCAAAGAGCTGATTAAATTTAAGATTAAATTATGTATAGAGCAAAGACAAAGTAAAACGCAGAAAGACTTGTTTCTTAGTAATCCTATGGCAAAATGATTTGCACATCAAAGAATCTTTTCTTTGAGTAATTATCCCTTAATTTTTGTAAATCTAGACTTACACATATCAGTTTTGTTTCAAAGTAAGGTAACTTCAATAAATTAGAATTGTAACTGTATGCTCACCCTATATATGCTCACCAAAACTCAGATGGTAATGATTTGTTGATTTTTAAAAAACAATTTTCTAAAACCAAAGCATAACCACAGTATTAAATGGAAATGGAAATGAACAAGAACCTATACATTACATACAACTGGTTTTTCAAGCCCTCTAATTAAAAAAAGAAAAATGTCAATATAACTTAGTCAAACAGCACGGGACTTACGTAATCATGGAAGGCTTTAGCTTCACTTGAGTGTTCACATGTTTCACGTCTTTCTGGAGCGGCACAGTAGAGGTCCCAAAATACACTATAAAAAAAAAACAGCAGTAAGAAAAGTCATAGTATTAGTACGAGAAAATGACCATTCCCCTACTGCAAAGACATTTGGAAGAGTCTTGCTTTCCTACAGCAAAATTTTCTTCATAAGGCAATATAACATACCATTAGGAAGGTTAACCTGTAATATTCGTATAACTTTAGGGTACCTCCAGGAGTTTATTTCCCACAAGACTGGGAGATGTTTTAGATGTGATATTCTTTAACTTTGCATAAATGAAATTATTAAACATCTATGAAATAAAAATCAACACTGAAAAACAAAAGAAAAAATCAACACATCCATCCATATATATAATGTTTTTCAAAGTTACTCAGAAGGATTTGTGGAAATCATATAAGGTATTTTCAAGACAATCCCTGAAGTATTGAAAAAGTAAGTAAAATATCCTAATTTAATTGATGGAGAACAAAGAAATGTGTTCATTTGTCCAAGATTATTGAGTTGTTCAGTTAGGAATTGTACTTATTTTTAGCCAAATTTTTTGCCCACTAAAACACAACAAAGCAACGTTTCTTCAAATGTTTTCTTTTTTTTTCTTTTTTTGCAAAGAACAGAGCAAAGTTATTCAAAATGGTGATTAGGACTCTATGAATATAAGTTTGATGACTATTCCAAGAAAATATTTCTTCCTTCATGTAAGATCTAATGCAAAGGAATTTCTGCTAAGTGTTCTGTAGTACAGAAGATTTTTTTTTCCGAGCAAGATAAACAACCAGGGTAAAGTATAACTTCTTATTTTAAAATTATCTCCCTGTCCTTGTTTTGGAAATAATGCTACATAACACTAAAGACTTCCTGAGTTGTAAAATCTACATTGTTGAATGAAAGATAAAAGAAGTTTTAACAGATCCTTGAATTCATCATGCTATTTCTACAGGACAACTTTTGTTTTTGTGAAAACTGACCAGCATGCCTCTTTAATCTTCAAAGGGAGGTACTACAGCTCTTATGGTACAGATTTCAAGCCCAGAAAGCCTTCCTGACCTATGTGATTCTTATTCATGACTTTCCATAAAACCTCTGTAAAAGATCCACCAAAAACACTGGAAGATTTCCTCTCTTTCTTTTAATCTTCCATGGGCATCAGCTCAGCCATACTACCACAATTCTCTGTTGATGTTTCATATTTAAATTCTTTCCTTGGTTTCTGGTTTTTTCTTATAATACATCTTTTTTTCTCTCTCTAAAAATATGGCCCAGCTTTTACATTGCTACTCAAAGGCAAATCATTTTTGGTAAAACTCTTACAACCTTCAATGTCCTTTTCAATTGATTGTTCCTTTGTTCTGCCTATGAGTCTGACTGCCTGCACTTACAGTGTTCCATGATTTATAGCTCTACAGCATTACCGAAATAATATTGGTGCTTTTTTAAAATGGGCTGTTGCAGCAGCAATCAATTTGGGACTGATAAAAAGGCCAGTTTCCCAAATTCAGTATACCGAGATTTTTCCTTCTCTTAAGTTCTCTTAAGTTTCCTTCTCTTAAGGCCCTCCTCACTGTCCATTTGCCCAAGGTACATATACCAATATCTACTTTGGTTTTGATCAAGGAATAATAGTTAGGCCAAGAGGCAACATGGTTTAGTAGACAGAGTGCAGGGGTTTCGATTTGAGAAGATGTGGGTTCAAATTCTGCTTCTAGAAGTTACTATTTAGTTCTTGGAAATGCTGATTAACCTCTATGCAACTTCCTTGGACTTAATAAATTACAGACAGATTTAAATCTGTCTAATTGGAAGGAATTTTTATACTAAAAAATCTCTTTTAAATAACTATGCATTTCATTGGGGGAAGGCGTTTTTTAGTATTATGGACCATAGCTAAATTAGTATAATCTCATCTACAAGAACCTCAAACCATGACTCCCCATCCTTCTAGGATCAAATACAAAAGCATCTGCTTGGCATTCAAATTCCTTTATAACACACATCACTCTCTTCTTTTCCAGTCTTCTTACAATTTATACCTCACCATGTATTCTGTGACCCAGTAGCACTGGCCTTCTTTGCTGTTACTCAAAAAGAATACTCCATCTCCCAGATGGACATTTTCACTGTCTGTCCCCTGTGCATGGAATTATCTCCCTCCTCATCCCTGTTTACTTGCTTCCCTGGCTTCCTTCAAGTACCAATAAAATCCCACCTTCTGCAGGAAACCTTTCCCAGGCTTTCTCAATTCTACTACCTTCCCTCTGTTGATTATTTCCAATTTATCTTGTACAATGTGCATAATTATTTGCATGTTGTTTCCTTAACTGGATTGTGAGCTCCTTGGGAGCAGTTGTGGCACATAGTAGGTGCTTGATAAATATTTATTGATTCACTGGTTGATTAACCATCAATACAAAATGTTTCTATTTGGACATTGTGTAAGAGTTCCTTCATCACACTGGCAAACACCTTGAGTGAACTTAGGTTTTTTTGGTAGTTCTTTTGCTGTTGGCATTAAATGGATTGTTTAACAGAATTATTGTGAAGGTGGCATCATCGATTCTGTTATGATTTTTAACATATACATGGGGAGAAACATTGTTTGAAAGAAGTCAACAATCATTGCTCTTTTTAAGCAATACATAGCTTTTTTGTTCTTTGTATCTTGAAACGTTTGTACTTGCTGACAATCCCGAGTTCACGATAAAAAAAAAAGTTTAAATAAAAAAAAATCCTCCATGACTGTACATTATCCTATTCAGATACCTTATTAAAATCAGCAAACAATACCCACAAAGTAAACCTACATTCTTTATACCTTTTAGTTAGTTGTAGAATTGTGAAAATGGGATCCCGAGGGTCAGCTAGGTGGTGCAGTGGATAGAGCACTGGCTTTGGAGTCAGGAGGACCTGAGTACAAATCTGGCTTCAGACACATAGCACTCACTAGCTGTGTGACTCTGGGCAAGTCACTTAACCTCAATTGCCTCAGCAAAAGAAAATGGGATCCTGTGTAGAAAATAATCTACAAAAACATGCCCATCCCCTTATTATTTTTCCTTCAAGAAAACTCTCAATGTGTGCATCTCACAAAGATTTTATAGGGATGAAGCTTTTCAGTCACTTTTTCTGGTTAAAAGTATAGTCTTCTCTCCATTTTGATGGTTAGGAGAAGGCAAGAGTTCCTTTTAAACTGTCTTTTAAAAATGAGCCCTCAGTGCCCCTAAAATTGTAAAGCTTCAAATACATTTTTTTCTGAATTCATTTGGTAGTTCAGGTGCTTTTTTCTGATCCCAATGTCTTAAATGACGTTGGCACTCATTCACATAGTACGTCACATACTAAAACGGTAGAGTCCAGATGTGATCATTTCAGCGTTGTCACAATTAGGACAGATAACTCTAAAAACAATGGAAGACCTATCCCACTTTGTATCTATTTGTTTATCTCCATACTTCATTCATGAATGTTTTAAAGTGTGATCAAGTTTAGCTGAGCCTTTTATTAAGTTTTCTGAAGGCTTATCAACTATGCTCTATGTTTTACTCTTAAATTCTATCATCCTCTTCTGTAATATTTGCAAATGAGTCTGAATTCTACATTGGTATTGCCTTTTGCTGCGTGCCTTTCTGTTAAACAAAGAGATGAACTGCCTACAGACTGAGGCCGTTTCAGGGCTCTTCTGGACCTCTTTTGGTGAGAGCCTTCAATCTCCTAAACTTTGGCAGCCCAAGCTCAAAGCAACTTAGAACTCATATGGACAAAGTTTCATGTGTGGGAAACTTCTCATTAATAGTAAATGTCTTTGTTTCACATTCCCTTAACAGTCAGACCTATTACACTGTCTCTAAGAAATGATGATAATTACTGCCATTGTGATTACTTTAATCTATTTCCCATTTTGAACAATGAAAACTTTGTCTAGGTTAGAGCTGTTATAATCAAAAGCTATGTCTTCTCATGTCTATCCTTTTGTATAATTTAGCATTGATTTTGACCATTAACCAGTCAGTCAGTCAGTCAACAAGCATTTCTTAAGCATGTACTAGGGACTGTGCTAAGCACTAAGGATACAAAGAAAGTCAAAAATTGTCCCTGGTCTCAAGAAGCTCCAAATATAATGGGGAAGACAAAATTCAAATGACTACATACAAGCAAAACATATACAGTATCAACTAGAGATCACCCTTCCTCTCATTTATCTGGGACAACACTGGGGAGAGGAAGCAATAGACGAGATGGTAAAGAACCTTTTACTTCAGACAGTGAATTATCATCCCCAATCCAACCCAAACTAATTCTATTTCTAGCTTGTCCCAGACTCAAACTCAGACTGACACATCTCTTTTGAAACATTTGTATAAGAATTATATTTACTATAACACTGTCTGTGACACACATTGTGGCATTTAATCACAAACCATTCTTCTTTTCTCTCATTCCATAATATGAATCATCATTCATCTCTCTTCCTCCCCTATCAGAGGATATGCAAAGCTCTTTGAATGCCAGAAACTTGTTCTTTTATACTTCACTTAATTCTCAACAGTGATTATCTCAGTGCTAAGGGCGCAATACAACCTAAGTAAATACTAATTAAATTAATGCAATTTAAGATTTCTTAAGAGGCCATGTTAGCTTCTACCTCAGATCTATAATTCTTGCTCAGTAAAGGACATTTCCCTCAAAGACTAGATTTAGATATAAAAAGGACCATAACATTCATCTAATTCAAATCCCTCTTTTTATGTACAAGAACTTCCTTTTTATTAGTTAGAAACATTTTTACAATAAAATTATTTCTTTTGTTAGGAAGAAGAGGAGAATTCCACCATCATTAACTCTCCACTGAGTTTTGGAAGGGAAGAAAAGAACTCCATAGTGTGGTACTTTGTGGCCATGCAGGTACCTAGGACAAACCATGAAGAAAAAACTCACCTATGTTTTTTAACTCCTACATCCCTCCTCTGAAAAAATGGTAAATAAAAAATTTGGCCAAGTATTAATTAGTTATGAAAGTTCACATTCTTTTACTT